ATATATATATATATATATATATAGCTAGTGGCATTTCATTTTAATTATGAGAAAATGTGGATTTTGGCTTCCTTTTTTAAATCTGAATATTGGGGATTTTTTTTATCAGAGAAAACCAGGATGCCTGAAGATTAGCATCATTAACCTTGCACATGGGGTTAGGAGAGTCAAGAGGCCTTGAGTTGTTGGTTCAGTTACTGTTAGGGTCTTGGGCAAGTCACTATACATACTTCCCTATCTCACATTCTCCATTTAAGAGCCCCTACAAGTTTCACTGGGGTACTAGGAAAATCAGTTAATATCTGTAAAGTGCTAAATAATTGGGGTGACCATATGGGACAGTATGAAATCTGGGACAAAGTGAAATCTAGGGCACTGCCCCACTCCACTCAAGTCTGCAGTGCTGCTGCAGGCAGAGGTGGGGAGGGGCAGCATGTTGCATCTCTAATATTACTATTCAGGCAGCTAACAGAGTCAATGGCTTGTTAATGACCCATTATTCTTTACTTCACATATGTTAACAACCACCTCCCCTTTTTAAGGGTCATTCCACTAACCAAGCTAACCTATTTTAGGGCAATTTTGCTGTCTGCTAGGGCTTCCTATTTCATAGCTTATGGTGCACCACATCCCTGCCCTGTGCCCAGGAAGTTCATTTTAATTTTCCTCAGCTGGTTGGACATGCTTCTAAAATTCATGACTGTCCCAGTCAAATCAGGACATATGGTCACCCTATAAATAATAGAAAGTGTTATCAGAAGTCATTATTAGGAGAATTAAGGGGTGAGACAGAAGACAATATCCTGAAAAACAGATAGCTTTTAAAAGGCAGTTTAACAAATGTAGGTTTGTTGTTTTTAGGTTAAAAATAAAGAAAAAGACAAGGAAATGGTAGGTGTTGAAAGCTAGTCCTAAACATATTCTATGTTAACATAACAGGAAGTGATTTTTCCTAATTACTTTACCTCATAAAAGACCAACTCAAATAGAAGGCAGGATACAAGGCTCATGTCTGTACAACTATGTACCATCCAAAGAACTGTTTGTGCGTATGGGAATAGATACTGAAAAATATTTCAAACAGATTGCTAATGGACTTAATTTTTATACTGAATTAAGTGCATGGATTACATCATTTTTATGTTGAAGAAAATAAAACAGAAAGAGCAACAAGATTAGACAGAAAGAAAAAAAATCAAGAGATAAAATAAAAAAAAACAACCCAAGTTTTTGGTTTACATTAGGTAGAGATTTTCCAGTTGCCAGGGTTTTGTCTCTTTTTGATACTAACATGTTAACATAGGACATCTAAACCAGGGGCACTTAGCTGAACTATGCCTCTTTCCTATTGTAAGGATACTTGCAGGAATCCTCTTTACACTGTGTTGTTGGAACAGAAATAGCATTTTCATCAAGACTGAAAATAATCTGTGATGACATAAAAAGCAAATCAGAACCACTTGGCACCTGTATACTCACTGAGGTTCACACCTAATAAAGACAGGATTGTTTATTCTTACAATTTCCATCATGGTTGTCTTTCAGTAGAGACACCACTAAAAGAAACATGCTGTCTAGCTTGAAATGTTCTGGGTGTCCCTTCAGTTCACATTTCAGAATTAAATCAGAATGGAAGGAAACCTTGCAGTTCAGCTGGGACCGCTTAATACATACTATATTTAGGTTTTTTTTCTGCCAAAATGTCCCCTGCTTATAATTTCTTCATATGGAAACTTTTGAATAATTGCCAATTAATTTTTTTTTTTTGGACCAGAGTCCATAGTATATTCTTTTTCTTTTTCCACAGGGAGAGTAAATGTACTTAGTCAGCTACCAGCAATAGTTTCCAGTGAGATATCACTGCCAACCCTCCCAATTACTTATGGCTTGGGAAAAGCATTCTCCAAAATCCGAACTACAAAACATTAAAAAAAAAAAAAAGATGCCATATGTGAATTTGGATGGCAGCATGATGGCTCATAAGAAGTCAAACAATTCTTTTAAGAATGAGATGAAGAATCCTACATCAAGAACGTGCTTTGATGTCCCTCCTCCCAGTAATCCACTGCAGTCAATTTTTTCTATTGACTTCAGTGGGCTCTGGATCAGGCCTACGGAGATGAAAGCCCCTTCTATAGGGAAGTTCCCGCCCACAACCTCACGAGCAGGTGGGATGTGTAGGTTCTTCGGCAGGGCCTGTCACTGACAAGTCACTTTCATCACAAGATACTATGCTGGAGGAGAACTATCTTCCTGATCCCCGCGTGGCTGGGAGAGCTGTCCCAGGAGCTGGGACAGCTGTATCCCAGCCATGTGGAGATCAAGTCAGGACCCAATCCCCACTGAGCCCAGGAGAGCTGTCCCCACTCAGCAGGGACATTACCTTCCAGACACATGGGGGTCAGGAGGCTCCCTATGTGGCCAAAAGACCTTGGCTGCTAGCCACGTGGGGATCAGGACCCTCTCAATCCCCAAGTGGCCAGGAGAGCTGTCCCTGCTCAGTGGGCATGCTGCTTGTCAGCTACATGAGTATCCCATATGGCTGGCAGGCAGCATCACTGCCAAGCAGGCACACCCCTCCTGGGCATGTGAGGATCAGGACCAGCCCCCATACCCAATGTCAGCCCTGGAACTGGCACCCAGGGGACCCTGAAGCTCCCCCTGGCTGCTGCAGGTGGGCACAGCAGGGCAGGATCACCTTAGACTAAGCTGTTTCTGTCAGGTGCAATTTGCTCCTGACAGGGATGCACATGTGACCTGGAGTGCTTTAACAGCCCTGAAGAAAATTCAGGCTCATTAACTGCATGTGTAGATGTGCCCTGAATGGAAAAACAGTGTCTTGATTTTAAAGTTGAACAAGATTTTGCTGCTATGGCCAGAACTTATACATCTAAATGGGTGCATCTACACATGCGCTTTAATGTGCAATAGCCTATTTTACTGTGCATTAAAGTGTTACGTAAAAAAAATGCATAATTACACTAATGCATAATAAAACAGGCTACAGTTTATTAAGCAACACTTAAAAACCATGCATATTAATTACTGGGCATTTAGAACCCATTTCTTTAGTACCTCACATTGGAGGTACTAAATTTAATGCACACTAGAAAAAGTGCCTTAATGCACCCAATAGCACTTACCCAGCCACAAAGGTTATATATATTTTTGGACTCATACACAGTTTATCATTTTATTATCCTATAATGTTTGAACTTAGGCTTCTCTTATGTCCCAACCAAGCACACCACACCACAGTTCAGGCATTATCTAGTTCCTTCTCCTGTCCTCTCACTGCACTGTTCATATTAGTCACAGGATAGAGAGCAGTATGGAAATTTCTGGCCCACTGACAGCACACAGCTAGGCTAGAATGCAAAGCCTATTTTCTTTCAGGGCAGCCACCACCTCACTGAGACATGTATCAACTTGCTCAATACTTCCTGGGCTCATAGATCTCTCTTTCTCTCTCTTTTTTTTTTGGCTAACAGGGGGCTAACTTCTGAAGGAGAGGGGACTGGTTAATAACTGACCTGTGTGGTGGGCATTAGAGCACTATGCTGAGAAGTCAATTTGGCAGTGGCTATGAGAAGGTTAAAGCTTTAGCTGTAAGGAGAGAGTGTGACACTGAGGAGGAGTGGGCTCTGGCCTACAGCATGCCCAGCACAGATCGAGTACCAGAAGCCATTCCAGCAAGCAAAATGGGAATTAGCTTCTTTAGTTAAAACACCCATCCCAATTTTGGGGGGCTAATTTTCAGGGGAAAGGTCCATGTTGCATGCAGATAAATATGGCATATACCTGCCTGCCTAAGAGAAACCCATGGAGCATGTGCAGTAGCTGTGTGGACATTTGTGCATTCACACTGCATGAGTAATAAAATAGCAAACTGTGCATAAGGCTGCTTAAAAACATTCAGGATGGAGTGGGGGATGTTAGAGGGAGGTTAGTTCACA